GACAATCATGAGCTCAAACTCATCGTCCTTAAGTCTCAAGAAACATGGGTCGATGCACATTCCTATGGAGATTCTGTTGCAGATCCTCAAGTGAACACAACAAAAGAGACAAAGAATGAGCCTTTAAATGAGCTCAAACTCATCGTCCTTAAGATGAGCAACAAACTTAACATTACCACGACCTTCAACCTCTTTACAGGAATCAACTTTATACGGAAGATTAGCTGATATCCCTTTCCCTTTCCACACTGCCACGTAATCTTTGAGTTTACCTTCCAAATCAACTTCCGGAACATGGTTCACATGATAAACCTTCAACGGCGCCGTTACCTTAACCCTACACCCTACCTTCGCCTTCGCGTCCGCTTCCATCTCCTCCTCAGACGACAAGTCAGCGGATTTTACAGCTGTGTTGCAACAAATCGTTTTTATTGAGCGAGGGCGTTTGATTCGAGATTGAGAGGAGAAAAGCGAGAGACTCTGTGAGATGATGGGGGATTTATAAGCAGAAGTGGCGGACGGAGGGAGGACGGCAGGAGAGAACGCCGGTGACAAAGCGACGGAGTTGGTCATCTGAGACCGAGAAGAGATGATTGCGGTGGAGACGAGAGACGACAGAGATGAGTGATGCTGGAGACGGGCAACGGAGAGGAGCGATGGAGAGGAGCACGCCGGAGACGATGATGGATGATGGCCTAGATGTATCATGCCGGAGACGAGACGACGAGACATCGTCGTTCACGATTTCAACTTTTATAAAAAAATATAATTAAAACATAAAAGGGCATAAGGGTAAATCATTCCTTTAATGAAACCTATTTTTGTGACTTTGAATCTTGGGTACTAGTTTGGTGACAAAAACTTGGGTTGGTACTATTTTTGGCATTTATTCATTCCTTTCTCCCGGTCAACCTACTTTGTCTAAAATCTCGCTTAGATACTAAATCTCTTGATTTCATATTAATTATAGATTATTAATTGGTTTTCTAAATTGTTAGAGAGTATATTTGTTTTTACGGCCTACCTAAAATATGAGGCGTATATATAGTTCTTCTCATATTCATCATACGAAATTCACTATCACCTCCAATAAAAAATGGCAAAACCAAACACTTTTGTATTCCTTAACGGTGTTAAACCTTACAGAAATAATTGGAGATTCACGTTAAGGTTCTTCATTATTGGAAACAAAACACCAGTTATGGAGGTGACACATTAGAGTTGGTCCCCGCTGACGAAAATGTAAGTTACAGAAGTTTGATTTTTTTTTTTTAAATTCATTTTCTAATCAGTATCTTATTCAACTTTTCTTTGTTTTGTAGGGTGTAAAGATTGCAACATTTTATAAAAGAAATCAAACTTCAGTAACTTACAGGTTATGATTTGATCATATTCATTTTCTTTAGTTTTTCCTGTGAACTAAACATTTGTCTTTTTTTTTGGACAAACTAAACATTTGTCTTTTCTATAAATATCAGGTAGATTCATTATCTTCACATTTCATATTTATTTTCTAGGTTAGATCTAATCTAATTATGATCATTTTAATGTCACAGATTTATTTCATTGGAATAGCTATGGAAAAAATAGTCGCTACAAGAATCTAAACTATTTGATATCAATCTTCAAACACTGGATTGTATTGGTAATTTTTCTTGACTTCTATTTTCAACTTAATAGTAGTATGACGTAAACAACAAATAAACAAGAGCCAATGTTTATTTGTTAAATATTTATATTTTTATCTAATGTATATTCTACATTGAAATATTTGTTATAGAACATGTCATTCAAAAAGTTGTTGCAAAACCAATTGATAAGATATTTTCTCTCATAATTTCATGTATGTAATATTTAATTTTTATTGTGAAATCTGTCGACCAAATTTCTGGTACAATCTAGTCAAGAAATATTCTCTTTTACCTTTACCAACAAGATATTCCAAAAATAATCTTACTTTATAAATATGATATTTTTGAAAATTTGTTCAAGAATATTTTATTTCAAAGTTTCTCATGAAAGCTATGTCGTTTAGAAACGTTTACCAATTTACTATATATAAGACATTAACAGCAGATAAACGAAGTCACATGATTTTTATGATGTTATTTTTTTCTGTTTTGGATTTAGTAAATTTATTTTATTTTAGAATGTTAAGACTTTATATATATACACATAATTTTTTGTTTTCTGATTCTGATTTTGGTTTATGTGCAGATAATCAATCATAATGATCCCTCTTTTGAAGCCACATATGATTTGATCATTCTTCATTTTCTTTTATTTTTTTATCTTTTAACAGTTATTTTTTTTATTAATCTCAGGTTAATTCATTATCTTCACATTTCATATTTATTTTCTAGGTTAGATCTGAGATAGTTGTCTTAATGTAAATCATTATCTTAGAAAATTTATATGATTGGATTACAAAAATATATCAGAAACTTTCTAATTATAGAGTGATGTTCCTAAGAATATTTTAAATTTATTTTGTTAATCAATAAAATAATTGTTAAATATTAAACCCACATTTTACAAAGTATAGAAATCTATATTAAATGAATATCTTTGTTGTTTTATAAACTACAAAGCAAAGCAAATTTCCAGAAATCATAATGTAGTAGGTTATTTCATACAATAAAAACTTAATCCGTTAACTATCAATTTTTTACAGAACTAAAAAAAAAAAAATCCGCACTTTGAAATATTATGATGTTAAGTAAAGTTTAAATGATTTGGAATACATTTTGTGAAATATATTTGTGATAAAAATATTAAATTTTTACTCACTAATTTAGACATAGCGGTTCAGGTACAATAAATTTCTACTTGCATGTCAAATTTTTGAACAAAAAATGATTCTATTTGTAGTGGAGCGGGTTGACCCGCAAACTCAACTATAATTTATATTATCATACGTATAAAATACTATTAATTATATGATGACACATATATGATATATACTGATATGAGAAACAAATAGCAATATATTTTTGAAAAATACATATGCGTGAGCGCGCGTACCAAAATCTAGTTTGTAAGTTAAAAGAGCAAAGCAAATCTTAATAATTGATATGTGCATATCCTCATGTAGTCGCTACAACCGTATATATGACAAAATCTGAAATCTTGAATCTATACTATTAAAGCAAAATACCTATTAGGATTTTGCCATTATTTCTCTTTGTAATTACATTATCATGCCATTATTTCATTTTAAACATAATCTCTAAATAAGAAATATTCCTAAATAATAGCTAACCAATTTATTGAATCCTAAATTTCCAACATATTTAATTAAATTATTAAAAAAATTCAGTCAAAACATTTGAAATATTACATAAAATATATTACGGTTCTGAATAATTTAAAATTTTCTAAATTCTCCTTCACTTAAGAAAAATAACCATAATGAATTTTACACATATTTTTATAATTATATAAAAACTTATAAATAAATTATATAAATTATAATTTTTGTTACTGAAAAATGTTTAAGTTAGAAATTAATCCCGTGCTTTTAAAAACACGGGTCAATATCTAGTATCCGATTAAACAGACATGAGATATGATATAAAATATATTTTATCTTTGGTTTTGTAACAAAAATATTACTCTTTACAAACATACAATTTTTTTTTTTGACAAAACAAACATACAGTTTTGCAAGATATTATCGTTTTTTTCAAATTAAATCGTACGTAGTTGGGTTAAATATAATGGAATAATTTTGTTTGTTGTCAAATTTTAAATTTAAAGATCTGTCGGGGGTCCATCCACATACCAGCTAAGGATAGACGTACAAAAAGATTAGAACTGCGAACCACGTCAAACAAATACGAGGAGGACCACCATCTATACGGCTTAAGTATGGACACGTGTCAAATATACAGTGGCTTAGTAGCATGCATGTGGTCCGAATCTTAAAAGAGAGCACAAGACTCGTGTGTTCGACTCTGAGTCGCTCACGTACACGTTTGTACACAACAAAGTTCGAACCAAATCAGCAAATCCTTTCTCTTAAGTTTCAGTTCTGTATCTATCTTTATTGTGACTCCTCTTTCATATATGCTCTTCACGCTACATCCAACGACTACTATTCATCTGGTAGTTATCCTCGAATCATTTTCCCTGTAATATATATATATATATATATAGGTCTAAGCTTTAGTCATTAGAAAACCATTATGTTAATTTAGTTCCAATATATATTCTGACGCCAAGTGAGATCGTGCAACAAAAACCTAGGGACTTATTTAAGGTTTAATATGCTTATGTCTTCTCTAATTAACATTTGTATTAATATTAACAAAAATATAGGGAACGCTAGTTGTCTTCAATAGTTTAATTTCTTGCAAAGTTGTCATATAGCAAGCAACGGATAAAAAATATATTAATATATGTATAGCTATATGTATATCGGTTTTTCTTTTCTAATTCGTGGATGATCACTAATATAATTAAACAATGAGCTTGTTGCATATAGATTTTCGATTTGATTTAGATAATGTATGTATAATATGTACATGTTGGATTGGACCATATGCTTATTTTTTTTTGTATTTTAATTTGATAAAGAGAATGAAAAAGGTGAAAACAAATAGACGTAAGGAAGTGAAACTGCCTCGTGCACTATGAGAAGAAGGACGTGAGACAAGTAAAGGTAAAGGTAAGTGAGAGTCACCGAAGAGTCATGCCATCTCCATGTCTTCACATTCTACTTTATCATTTTTTTTTTGACAAACCACTTTATCATTTTTTTTTTGAGAAAGACCACTTTATCATTTATCTCTAACGAAGTGACAATTCTACATTATTGTCTCCATTTGATGATCAACCACTTTCTTTTCTTCTAAAATAATTCTACTGCCTGTTTAATGTATACACTATACTCATGCGGAGACATAAATGTAAATATATAATCTAGTTAATTGCCTGGGCATTTTACCCGGACCCGAAGACCCGACCCGGAACCGGTCCGAAAATATGCGGTTTGGGTAGGAACCGAACCGATCATTTTACCCTATTGGGTCTTGATGTGGAGGACCCGCGGGTCTTGGACCCGAACCGACCCGAATCTTAGACCCGATGGGGTACCGGAAATATCCAAAACATCTAGTATATATTATGTATATATATATGTTTTAGTATTTTTATGGTATTATGAGTATTATTTTATATCTTGGATTTGGATTTTCAGATATAATTACGGGTTTTAAGTAAAATTTTAGGTTTTTTAAAATATAATTCGAATAATCAGATAAAGTTTTGGATATTTTTATGTATTTGGGGGAGGTTTTGTGTAAACTTTTGGATATTTCTTGGATATTTAAATATTTTCCAGTATTTTTTGTGTGTTTTAGGTATTTTTTGGGCCATACCCGGTAGGACCTGAACCGAAGCCGACCCGAAACCGAACCCGACCCGAAACCGAACCGAATCCGAACCAATAAATTTTAATTACCCCATTGGGTCTAACTATATAAGAGCCGAACCGACCTGGACCCGGTAGGACCCGAACCGACAAAGTCTAATTACCCTATTGGGTCTAAATATCTAAGACCCGAAGGACCCGGACCCGACATAACCCGACCCGAACCCGATCCGAACCGGAAAATGCCCAGGCCTTATTAATAACTATCAATTATTTGATTGCAACAACAACAAAACTTCAGTTTGCTTTTGCGTCTATCTATATCTTTTCCTGGCTAATACTCAGGCCAGATCACTCTATGCAAAAATGGATCTTTGCCATCAACTGCACAAGGTAATATATATAAACCAATAATTATATTCTTGTAAAAACCAATCATAGGTTTGTTGAGCTTATGTGCCTGACATGGGTCCAAGTTTGTGAAATCCTACTTGTATATTAATTTATTCCCTTAACTAGTACCACCTGCATTTATCTATTATACACAAGCACAAACATACACAGAACATAAATATTTCAATATTAAGTAAATTATAAGAAATGCGATATTAAAGAAATCACAACATGTTAATTTGATTAGTGGGAGAGGACCAATGCGCTTAAAGATTTTTCATGTCTTGGTAGGCATACTTATACATCTTTCTCATAGTAACTACATGTAATTAGTTAATCCAACTAGTTTCTTTTGAGTTTTGTTAATCCAACTAGTTTCTTTTGAATTTACATGATGGCTATAAATTTATCAAAAAAAATATTAAAAAAGTTCTGATTATATTATTCACTTATGTCAAGTTCATATATACAGTTTCCACATATAAATCAATTGTACTGAAGAACAATGATTTTAAATTTATGTTTTTTGTTCTCACTAATCATTTCCTCTTCCCTCCTATATATATAAACTTGACATATCTCCACTTACTATCATATTCACCAACTCCATCTTTCTCTCTTCTAACAATAAACCATACTAGTTCCCAAAATGGAAGCCACCATTTTAAAGAAAACAAGAAGCTCATCATCAACCCTAGCGATGCACAAACAATCATACTCAATAACAAAACCAAAGCCAAAGATCCGTATAATTCACATATTTGCACCTGAGATCATCAAGACCGACGTTGCCAACTTCAGAGAGCTTGTCCAAAGCCTAACAGGGAAGCCAGAAGACCATGGCGTTTCTAAAACAAAACCAAGAAGAGGTTCTCACCGTCAAGTCCAAGACATGATCAACATGGAGAGGCTAAGAGAAGTTGAGCGTTGTGATGATCAAGGGTTTTGCTCAAACTCAGAGATGGAAGAGATGTCGATGACTTGGAACGGTGGTAATGATGGTGGTGAGAGCTCTGGAGGATTCTTGAATGGTTTGGGAGATTTTGGAGGGTTTATTCAAGAACTTGGTGAATTTCCCTATTTGCCCCTGTCCTCCATGGATGCTTCTGCTTCTTCTAACTCGTCTTCTTCCTCGCATTTACATGGTGGATCAATTTTCTCAGATTCTCATTACCAGTTTGTGTAACTCTCGTCTTTCATACAAAAAGTTTTTTTTCTTTATAAGTGGTGTCTTGTTTTGTCTATTAGGTTTTTGTGGAAATAATCTTTATTCTTTTTGTTTAGTACATTAATTGATTTTATGTAAAGCTTTAAACTCCTTTGATTTCTCTCCTAATGTCTTATGCTTTTTTCATTGTGTTGAAGATATTATTTACACTAATTATTGGAAGGAGGATATGTAACCTTTAATTAGGTTTATCAAAGTGTTAAATAATGGATAATGAAACACTATCTCTGTGTCTGGTGATATAGTAAGTTGTATTCAGTTTGTTTGACATTTACAGACATAAACAGAGGAACAGAAGGACATGTTCTTTTTAACTGTTGTATTCAAGATTCTCTACGCTTGATGAAGACGATGTTTCCACCCTGGTCAGAACTTCAGGCACACCCAAAGTATCTCTTACAATCTGAACAACAACAAAAATCAACGTTTCATGTTAAGTAAGTAAGCTTCTCTGCAAGATTTTTTAAAACTTGTAAGAGCATAACAGTTCATGAACTCACAAGAATCTCGTCGTCTAGATAAGATATCATAAAGAATCTCTGGTAAGATCCACCTGAAAGCCGACAACAATGTTAACATGTGAGGAAGAAGCATGTTAAAAATGTGGCTTACTATTTGGCTTACCAAGTGGAATTCTAAGACCATTGGCAAGAGTATCCTTAACAGGTTCAGGAAGCTGCTGCAACGTGGTGGTAGCTTGACCCAATAAACCTCTAAGCTGTTCAGGAACTGCTTCTTCAATAACAGTTGGCGACTCTAGCATTCCCTCTAGATACTCTTCCCTCATCCTTAAAGGCCCTTCCACTGTCAGTTTCGACGTGAGTATGACTTTGTTTTCCATCTGTATAAACAAAAAACTTCTTTGTTTCTTTTGATTCTGCTTTATACATATCTAGGAGAAGTATATATATACCATGTTTAGCAGCTTAACGTTGGCGGTGGCCCTTGTGCTAGCATCTTTAATGACAATGTCCATACTTGATAGACTCACAAATGAAGAAGGAAACCTCCTGCCACAGTTCCAAACAGATAGAGAGAGCAATGCTTAAAAATGTTTTTTTGTGCTTATCTATGGACAAGATACAAAGTAGAAAGAAGACTAACTCGGATATGACACGAGCAGCGAGTGAACCAGGAGTGTTGGATCCAAACCACTCAAAACTCCATCTGCCTTCAAGGTAAGGAGACCTGTAAAGCCATAAGAACCAGTTCATCATATTGCCCTTTTAAAAAAACTTAAAATCTGAAGCTGATAATAGGAGCACATACGTGGTTGGTCTAGGAGTTGGATTAAGCCGCTCAAGTATCGTAATCCTCTCATTCACATCGATCTTTTGCATATCAGTGATCTTCCCTGTAACTAAAGCCTCAAAGCCTCCAGCATCATTGAACTGTAAATCCAACAGAGAGTAATAAAAAAACAGCTTAATGCTTCTGATTCTTGAAACAGAGAAACAATAGCAACATGTATGAATCCAAATTACTAATAAAAGAGGCAACTTTCGATTACAGATAATGAAAAAGAAGATCTAAAGAGGAGAAAGGTGGAGACTTTACGGCGAGAATGAGCGATTCTTTAGCGGAGAGACGCTCCATTTCTCTGGCGTAGACTGAAGGGATCCCTTGAGCTGCCTCTTGTACCATAGCTTTGCATATCATTCCCCTCCGGGAATGATTTCTCATCTGAATCTGACCTTTCTTCTCCGGATGAAGATTGAGAGAAACCCTTGTCGTCAAGGGTGGTGATGCGGAGGATGATAAGCTCAATCGAGCCGCAGAGGTGATAGAGACGGAACAGTGTTGAGTTAGTGCCATTGGAGAAGAAAGGTCAAAAAGATTGGTTTGTGCTACGCTGCGTAGAAATCTGAGGAAGGAGGAAGAAGAGGAGAAAGCTGTTTGTCTTCCTTCTCCTGTTTTATTTACTGTTTGTCTTCCTTCTCCTGTCGTAATCAAACGAGGCTACTAATCACGTTTAGTCAAAGAGGATTAAGGGTCTGACTGGTTGAAACGCGGCGGTTGCGATTGCGGTTGCGGGAGTTTGCGGATGTGGGTGGTTGCGGTTTTTAGCGTTATTAGGCGATTTGTACGACTGGTATAGCGATTAAAAACTGGTGCGTTTGCGGGACATTTATGACTGGTTGATTATGAGATAT